CTCTTTCCTTCTTTCTCTCTTTCTCTTTCTCTCTCTCTTTCTCTCTCTTCTCTCTTTCTCTCTCCTTTCTCTCTATCTTTCTCTCTCTCTCTTCTCTCTTCTCTCTCTCTTTCTCCTTTCTCTCTCTCTTTCTCTCTTTCTCTCTCTCTTTCTCTCTCTCTTTCTCTCTCTCTTTCTCTTTCTCTCTCTCTCTCTCACTCTTTCTCTCTTTCTCTCTCTTACTCTTACTCTTTTTATATAGGTAACCCATGCTCAGCTTGGGCTAATGTATATATAGTGTGAGGCTGTGTTACAAAATAAAATAGGCATTGTTAATGTTGGTGTGGCAAGCATATTTGTGTTCATATACATGGCAGTTTGGAGGGATATGTTGTGTATCTCTATACGTATATGCTTCTAAACTGTTGTATTCTGAGCACCTCTGCAAAAGCAGTGATAATGTGTGAGTGTGGTGAAAGTGTTGAATGATGATGAAAGTATTTTCTTTTTGGGGATTTTCTTTCTTTTTTTTGGGTCACCCTGCCTCGGTGGGAGACGACCGACTTGTTGAAAAAAAAAAAAAATACATGCATTGATAAATTTGTACTTGTCGGACACTGAGTGGATTGGAGACAAACACATCTATGCCTACTGCTGTTTTTTTTTTTTTTTTTTTTTTTGAGAAAGCAAATGCATAGAGGGTGCATGCTACAAGACCTACACTCATTCAATAGCTGCCCTAGCAGAAGTGTATAGACATCACAATTAAAATACTCTAGTCAGTTCAAATGGTATTTTAAAGTAGAGTATGTACTGTAGTCTCACTTGTGGTGTCCCTGTATACTTTATGGCATAGGTAGTCGTTTCTCAAGTGCTAGGATATGGCATCCCTAAACTTCATGACTGATACCCAAATGAAAACTGTATCTTCAGCATGCAGTATACTTTGTTCATAATTGTATTGGGTGGACAGTATTGGCTGTTGTGTGTATATTAAATCCTATATTTAATAGACTTGTAGGTAGTAGGTTGGTAGACAGCAACCACCCAGGGGGGTACTACCATTCTGCCAAGTGAGTGTAAAACAAAAACCTGTAATTGTTTTACATGATGGTAGGATTGCTGGTGTCCTTTTTTCTGTTTCATAAACATGCAAGATTTCAGGTACGTCTTGCTACTTCTACTTACACTTAGGTCACACTGCACATACATGTACATGCATATATATACATACCCCTTAGGGTTTTCTTCTATTTTCTTTCTAGTTCTTGTTCTTGTCTATTTCCTCTTATCTCCGAGGGGAAGTGGATCAGAATTCTTCCTCCGTAAGCCATGTGTGCTGTAAGAGGCGACTAAAATGCCAGGAGCAAGGGGCTAGTAACCCCTTCTCCTGTATATATTACTAAATGTAAAAGGAGATACTTTCATTTTTCCTTTTGGGCCACCCTGCCTCTGTGGGATATGGCCGATGTGTTGAAAGAAAGAAAGAATAGGGGGGTTCATTAAATCTGAATTATGAGAGTATTTTTCCACGATTATAACAGTAATGGACATTTCTGTATTTAATGGGCTTACTCTGTTAAATCCAAAAGTTCTGACACCAATAACACTCTTTTTGCCATGTTAAATATCACAGTCATCCTATTGACTGGTCCCTTGCCAAAACTGTCTACCCCTTTTTCTAACATTCAGATATAGCCTTTGTTGATCACAAATTAGAAATGTATAGGCCTTGAATGTATTTTATTTTAAATTATATGCCAAATTAAGTTTTGAGTAGTAGGTTTCAGCTATATTTAAGGCAGTTAAATTAATATTCATTAAGAATTTCACAAAGAATTATGTAAAGTTTTTGAGTATTCTATTCATTACTGCTAATAAAACTTTTTTTCTCTACAGGTAACAAAAGCCAGCCTAATTATGGCATTCTTCATTATTGGAGTAGTCATTTTATTGGGTGTGGGTATCACCATATTAGCTGAATACTTCAAGCTGCATATTCCATTCTTGAATCCCAGTATAGAAGTTAAAAAAGAAGGCAAAGTAACTGATGGAAAGCCAACACTCACCACCAAGCCTGAACCAGCAGGCCACATTAATCCCTTAGTAACAGAAAACCCAGAAAGTGATATTGCATGAAATTTTTGGACAGTCCCATACATGAATAGACAGTTTTGCAGAGAAAATCATTATTCAGTAAGTTATCCAAATCCTCATTACATGTATGCACACCGTAGAATGCAGCCTAGTATGCCAAGTACTATCAGTGGCATTGGGGTTCCTCACTGGGATCCTTGGAGGTTATCATATCCTTGGTACAGTACTTATCCATCAAATCTTGGTGTTCATTATTATGCCCAGCCTTCTTATTCAACATATCAACGTAGGATGCAATTTGCTCATCCTGACTTAATTTCATCTACCACTAGAAAGTATTGTAGAAAGAACAAAATTTTAATGTAACACTCATAACTGGGTTTTTATAATTATTTTGAATTTGTAATAGTTTTGTATACTATAATGGAAGTGATAGTTATTTTTACTTCTGGAGTTGTTTTTTCATGTGTGTGGCTGTCCTGTTCATTGTTTTTGTTTTTACTGACACTGCAAAATGGCAAGTTTTAAGTTTGACTACCATCATTTTGCATCATGTTTTGCTAAAAAAGTAATTCAAGTAATAACATTAATAAATTTCAGTAAAATCAGAAATACCTCTGGACTTAATATTACTATTCATTTTTGACGAAAATCAAAATTATTTTTGTAAAAAAAGTGTCCTTATTAGTATTTTGCCATGTTTATATGCCTGTGTACTGTTTACAGTTTCTTTGTGTACTATGTACATTAGGAAACTGTTATTATCTAGGAAAATTATTATTTGCTTTCTATATAACATTGATATATTTGTGGGGATGTTGTTGAGTCTGTAGAGGGAGAAGTTTATTAGTGGATGTAAAAATGTGAATGAATCGCTGTACAGTGGTGCCAACACCTGTGTATAAGTGTAATGCATGACCTTCAAATGTTGCAGAAGAAGAGACTGGATGCAGTAAAGATGTTTGTCTGAGATTGATGTGACGTAAATATGCAGAGAATAAGGAGTGAAGAAATTAGAAGACATCATGGTGGTATGAATGGAAGCAGAAAAGTTGTTGAAGTGTTTTTGTCATTTAGAAAGGCTTCTACAATGTAAGTTAACTAAGTGGGTGTATAAATCTAGGGTGAATGAAAGATGGTGTAGGTAACATCCAAAGAAGATATGAGAATCAGTTTTGAAAGGTAGGAGCTTAAATATCTAGATCATGTTAGATCAGAGTGGAAGCAAATGTTTTTGGTATATGACATGTGTGCAGGGTAATATCTATGAAATAATTCAAGGAAAATGGTTAGTCATATGTGTTCTGGAGGTGAGAAGCAGTGGCTGCACTCTGAAGGGTGGGTGGGTATGTTGCAGTTTGGTGGATCATTTTCTTTACAATACCGGCATTCTTCTGGAAAGACAGCTACTGAATGGGCGAATAGTGAATGTGTTTTCTTTCTACAAGTCATCATGCTTTGGTGGGAAATGGCCAATGTTAGGTTAAAAAAATGTGTGCATGGGCGTTGACCACCGAAACCCTCTCCCTCTCCAGGTAATATAAAATGTAATACAAATGGAGATGTTGATACAGAAAATAATGTTTACATTCATTTTATTTTATGTAATGTGGCTAATATATGTGTGTGTTTGATTGATTGATTGTGTGTGTGTGTGTGTGTGTGTGTGTGTGTGTGTGTGTGTGTGCGTGTGCGTGTGCGTGTGCGTGCGCGTGCGCGTGCGCGTGCGCGTGCGCGTGCGCGTGCGTGTGTGTGTGTGTGTGTGTGTGTGTGTGTGTGTGTGTGTGTGTGTGTGCATTATATTATATATTAATCAGTTCTGCAAATAAGACTGATATAAATACACTGCATTTTGGATTTTTATAGGATGTAGATATTTTTATACAGTAACTAAATAGATAAATTTAAACATTGTTGTCTTATTATTCATTCCTCCTGGCACTAGTGTTCTTGTATACAGATTGGAAAATAAAATTCTGAACCTTCCAAGAAGAATTTCTCCAGATTCCCTCTTAGCCTTGTGGGCCCTATCATACCTGCTCTTAAAACTATGTATAGAGCCTACCTCCACTACTTCCTCACCAAGATCATTCCACTTCCCAGTCATTGAGAGAGAAATACTTCATAACATCCCTGTGGCTCATCTGTGACTTTTAACTTCTAGTGGTGTCCCCGAGTTCCTGTTTCTTTCCTCAAACAGCCTGATTATTTTGTATGTTATGTCATCCCTGGGTCTTCTGTCTTCCAGTGTTGTTAGGTCCAATTTTGTTAGCCTTTCCTTGTAGCTCATGCCCTATTACCAAAGAAACCAACCTTGTTGCATACTTGTGCACTTTCTACAGTTTCTCAACATGCTTTTTCAGGTGAGTTCCACACTGGTGCTGCATACTCCAAAATGGTCCTCATGTATGTTATGCAAAGGGCTCAGAATGAATCTTTGACCTCTATGTTTTTCTCTCTGAGTGAAATATGTAGTCTCTGTACTTGTAGTCTATACCCTGTTTCACTGTATGACCACTGTAGGTTTAGCACTTTTTTTTTTTTTTATTATTATAATAATAATAATATACCCTGTTTCCAGTCTTCTTGCTCCTTTCCCAGTTTTTTTTGACCTTGCCTTTGCTGGGGTTGAATTCAAGCAGCCACTTATCTGACCACTCTTGCAGTTTGCCCAGATCCTTTGGAGCCTTTCCCTGTCCTCATCTGTTTTTATTCTCATTAGACCCCTCAAGGAAGGTTCCCTGATGTTGGTGAGGGGCTCTTGATTTAGGGAATTGGATCTGTGCTCCAGTTCCCCGAATTAAGCCTGAATGCCTTCCACATCCCCCCCAGGCGCTGTATAATCCTCCGGGTTTAGCGCTTCCCCCTTGATTATAATAATAATATTCTCATTAGTTTTACAACAAACGGGGAGTATGTTCCCTGTTATTTCTACCTGAATTTCAAGATTTTGGCTCTGCCTCTTGTGGGGTACAATATCAAATGCCTTCTTGCAGTCTACAAAATGCTATCCACCCAATCCTGTCTTGTTGCACATCTGTTACTTTGTCCTAGAACTTCAACTAGTAAATAAGACAAGATTTGTCATCCCAAAACTCTTGCTGGTTTATGAAACTACTACTGCTACAAGTGTTCTACCAGTCTGCCCCTGATAAGTTTCTCCATTACCTTGGAGGTTATGTATTTCAGAAACTGGTTTGTTGTTTAATGCCTCCAGTTTGTCTCCTTTCTTAATATAGAGATTAGATTTTCCATCTTCCAGGTCTCTGGTAATTATCCCCACCTCTTAACTTTGTTTACCAGATTCTCCCTGCCTTGTGGGACCTATGATACCTTCTTCTTTCAATACACCTGCCGTATCCCACCGAGGTGGGGGTGGCCCAAAAGGAAAAACGAAAGTACCTATGATACCTGTTCTTAAAACCATATATGCAGTCTGCTTCCATCACTTCTTCAAGGTTATTCCACTTCCTGACCACCCTAAGACTGAAGTAATACTTCCTGGCATCTCCGTGACCCATCCGTGTTTTTAGCTTCTAGCTGTGCCCCAAGTACGTGTTTCTTGCCTCTCAAACAGCCTGTCCCTGTCTGCCTTTTCAATTCCTTTTAAATTTTTTCTTTCCACATAGCTCATACCCCTTAGGTCTGGAACCAGTACATTGGATTGAACCTAGATGCCTCTCATTCTGCAGTCATTGTTTGATTCCAGTGAGTTAGTGCTTCCCCCTAATTATAATATAATAATAATGAATGTAATAATGAGCAAAATCCATACTGATGTTATTAGATCTTTTTCCTCCAGCAGAATGTTAGTAAGAAAGTTGCAAGTGATATAATATTAAAATGATCAGAAAGTTATAATTACAATGGACTTTACATGATAAGTCTAAAAATATCTTTTGTGATATGCAGAGTGTTGTGAGACCTCTAGGGGTAAAAACAAATTGGCCTAAATCAAAATATTAAAAGAAAATCTCTGTTTAGGGCCAGACTCCCTCACAAACTTAAAGAAAAGTGTATGCTCAATACAGGGTTTATAAAATTGTTTAATCATCCAGGCCCCTCAAGGAAGGTTCCTTGATGTTGGTGAGGGGCTCTTGATTTAGGTAATTGGATCTGTGCTCCAGTTCCCCTAATTAAGCCTGAATGCCTTCCACATCCCCCCCCAGGTGCTGTATAATCCTCCGGGTTTAGCACTTCCCCCTTGATTATAATAATAATAATCGTCCAGGAAGGTTAAATTTAAACAAACATTATTTACATCCAAAACTACCCCCCTAATTCACAAATATATTCACCATGGTGTTACTCTGTATACTACTACACCCTCAAGCTAAAATATGCCAGCCATTTTGGTAAAGCATTAAACATTTAAAACAGAGAGAGAGAGCCTTGTAACAGGCAAGCTTGAAAAAGCCGTTTTAACACAGCAACTGGGCCATGGTGGCTGTACTTATGCCTCTGATGAACTCCCCTTTCTCATCTCTCTCCTTCCCTATGCACAACAAACACAGCTAGGTACACCTCATGACATCTCCTTTAAATTACACCCAATACATTACCAACATCACAAAATGGCTGGTTAAAATTTGCCAATTTGCAAATTTCTCAAATAATGAGAAAAAATTATCTGGATTTGGGGACAAATTTTGTAGCTTTGTCCAAATTAAGTAACTTTGCCTAGTTCCACGTTGAGAAGCAAAGTATCTTGCCTTTTCTTTCTTCTGCCCTAAATATTGATAAAGCTTTTAGAGCTTCATCTTACTCTTTTTGATTATAATAATAATAATAATAATTTTAGAGCTTCATACATTCAATCCTCAGGTCCTTTTCCTTTCTAATGAGAGTAATTGTTAATCTTAAAATCTCTGCTTCATTATTTTCATCATTAGCAGCAAGGTGTGCACCAGGGAAGCCCCTCTCAAGGTCTCTGTTGACACTAAGGATCCCTGCTGCTATCAGACAATGTAAATATTAAAAGACCCCAAGAATAAAAAAGCCTGCGTATTATCCAGGCAAAATAAGTGTTATTCATATTAATACAACCTAATCACAATTCGTCAGGAACAGCTTAAAATCTATCTCAAGAAAATTCATTACACACAAATTTGTATATTTATAAGCTGTATAGTCCTTGTGGCTTAGCGCTTCTTTTTGATTATAATGTATATTTATAAGGAATTACTTTACTAAAATAATGCCCTAAGAACTATAAATCTGAAACATAATATCAAGCAGAATTTTTTTATGATTATACATACCTGAAAAAGCAGCACTGTATGACCCTGGTCCTTCAAGAGAGGTTCCTTGATGCTGGTGAGGAGCTTTGGATCTAGGGAATTGCATCTGTCCTCCAGTTTCCTGAATTAAGCCTGAATACCTCCCCCTTCCCCCACAGGTGCTGTATAATCTTATGGATTTAGTGCTTCCCTCTTGATTATAATAATAATACTGTATGACCCTGGTGGTTTAGCACTTAGTTTTGATTATAATAATAATATACATGTACCTGAAAAAGAAATTATTCACTATAAGTATTGGTAAGGTAACACCTTCCTGTGATCCAACTTTATCCTAAAAACAACCTGGGCCCCAGGTGCCCCTATATTAAAAATAATTATTGGTCCTTCCATGTTTAAAAAACTGAATTATAATTTTTTAATTCTCTCTTCTTAGATCAATCTTATTAACTCCCATGCCCCACCCCTCAAGGGATGTGATATACTCTTTAAGAGCACCATATTTGCAACCCCCAGTTTCTTGACAGGGAATGCTCCAACATATACTGAACCACCAAGCTATAATGCCTTTTTCCCTCAAGGGAAGTTCCTTGATGCTGGTGAGGGGCTCTTGATCTAGGGAATTGGATCTGTGCTCCAGTTCCCTGAATTGAGCCTGAATATCTTTCATCCCCATCCCCTACAGGTGCTGTATAATCCCTACAAGTTTAGTGTTCCCCCATGATTATAATAATATATTGCCCTTTATCAAAGACTGTGAGAAACATACCGTTTGTATCATCAGTTCTCTAAGCACTGCCACTATGAGCAAGGTTATTATCCTTCCCAACAGCCAGTTTGCTTTGAATTTCTCCAAAGCACTCAAAAGGGAACACTCGAGTTAACATAGCATCCAGGACATCCATCAAAGACCTTACCAGGGCCAAATTTGAGAACCTTGAACCAGTCATTTCAGGGGTTTACATAATCCTTTGTGGAGGCTGTAACAAAGTGTCCATCAGGGAAATAGCCCTAAAACCTAGAACATGTATAAACATATCTAATGATGCAGATTTGAAAACTTGAGCAATGCATGTATATAACACTGGAACACCATTAGGCACTTGAGTATCACATTCATTGTAGGGAACTCTAAACCCACAGGGGTCATATGGCACTTGGGGGAAACAGAAGGCATTCAGGTTTGATCTAAAGAAGAAAAAAGCAAGTCTAATTCCCTTGATCAAGAGTCCCTCACCTTTATTAAGGAACCTATATTGAGGAATCTAGCCACTTGAATTGATGGAATGATGCTCAATTAGTGATTAAGGCACCAGACATCCACAAACGAAAATGCCTTGAAGCATCAGGCACAATTATGAAGAACAAAACCCCTCAAGGGAGGTTCCTTGACGTTGGTGAGGGGCTCTTCATCTAGGGAATTGGATCTGTGCTCCGGTTCCCTGAATTGAGCCCGAATACCTTCCATCCCCCCCACATGCGCTGTATAATCCTACGAGTTTAGCGCTCCCTCATGCTTATAATTATGAAGAACAAAAGCATGATAAACCCTATCATCGCCTGAAAGTCACTTCTGCTACTCTTAACAGTATGGACCAGTAGTCCTACTACAGTGCCAGTATTCTTCCGGTGCCTAGCTATATTCCCTCTAATGTCTCGTTAGTTACTTGTG